TAGTCCGAGCTTAACGACCTCCGAGATTGGTGTCAACAATAATCATCTAAACTCTACATGAATAATATTATTTGAAAATTGATTACTATGTACTATTTATGAAAATTAAAGATACCACCCAACCTATTGAATATATAACAAGTAGGTCTGTAACTCAATATTGTGGCTGCCTCGACCTTCACTTTCCATTTTTGTAATAATTGGATTTTTAGTTCACCGCGTTGCACTTATAAAACTATTTTTGTTAAAACGACAACTTTATATTACGTTTAAATAAACTAAAAATAAATGAATAATACCATTAGATGTGACAATGGGTGCGAAATGGGATCGGGGCAACCATTATTATCTCGCACCCTTCCAAGATTTTTGAGGGCGAGATGGGACATGTCGGGATAAAAAATTTGCATTTAATGTTCCGTTATTTTATTTTTTAATATTGTTTTATATTTTTTGATTTACGATATAAATTGGAAACTATAAAAATACAAAATAATATAAAATTAGGTTTGGATTTTGAGAATACATGGTGGTATCACGTTTCTCTTTCACAACTTGCTTACGTTTGGAACGGGACAATGGGATGAGTCGATGGTGAATTTTTTGGCCATCCTAAATGCCAACCAACGTTCCATCATCTCTCCTAACTCTTATTAAATAATTTTACTCTTATATATATATATATATATGTGTGTGTGTGTGTGTGCGCGCGCGCGCGTGCGCGCGCACGCACAAAAAGATTTCAGTTCAGTTGGGCTCGATGCTAAAAGATAAAGCATTAGGGACTGAATCCGTAAGAATAATAAGTTGAGAACCTATTTGCCACATTTTAAATAGAGTTGCGACCCATTGTAATTGTTAATCGGCCAAATAGCGATTATCAATTAAAATATGCATTTACATGGAATTTTAGTTCTCCCCGGAGAAATCAGACAGAGGAAGAGCGCCGTCGAAGAACATTGCAGCGATGGGTTCAACGTCCGCCCTTAAAGAACTACAGAGAGACCTTGAGAACAAAGCCAACGATCTCAGCAAACTCCAAAAAGGCATATATTTCCTCATCCCCCTCCCACACAATAAACCCTAACACGCACTGTGTATTTTTTATGTATATAATATGTATCTATGCTAGATTATATGTTATTTCTGTGAACTAAATGTTGGTATACAAACTGAGCAGATATAGCGAAGAATCACCAAGTCCGAAAGAAGTACACTATTCAGCTTGGAGAAAACGAGCTCGTGCTAAAGGTCCTTCCTTTCCCCTCTGTCTGTATATGTGATTTTGAATTTTTTGGTTTAATATATTTAATTTGTACATATGGGACTCGTGTTTGAAGGAATTGGATCTGTTGAATGAGGATGCGAATGTTTACAAGTTAATCGGGCCAGTGCTAGTGAAACAGGACTTGGCAGAAGCAAATGCCAATGTTCGCAAGCGAATAGATTACATCTCTACCGAATTGTATGTTCTCTTTACTTAGTTAATTTGAGTGCTGTTTACTTGTGGCTTTTTATTTATAATCTGTGCTAGACTTGGCATTGCGCTATACCTAATATATTTACTCTGGTCGAGTCATATCAGAAACACCTTTTGTATTTTGTGGAGTATGTGTGCACTTGTTTGTAACACGTGATAAATGATATTTTATTGAATTAAAATAGTTGCAAGTATTATTTATTTCATGCTGTTCATATATAGCTCATGATTGGAACTGATATAAAATCATTCAGATGTGAAACCATACTTTTCTCGAAGTCTAATTTCAAAATCCTAATCTCACGTGGCAAGCGTTGGGTGGGAAATCGGTGTCAGCACGGTCCAATTACATTTGTTGCTCCATTAGGTTTTTTTAAGAAATCAAATGACGCTGTTCTTATCTACTTGGATCTTTGAACTTTTCAGGACGTTTGGAGAAAAACTGATTATTTATTGAAATCATTTAATGTAGATAAACAAAGACATCTTAACTCTGTGTTAAGATATTTTCATTTCTATTATTAATTCATTTTATATGACGTGGGCACACACGTTTCTTGAAGATACACAAAACAGATAATCCAAAACTGAACCAGAAATGTTAATATCAACTCTCAATGTGGTGAATTTAATACATGATTATAGCCACGTGATTTTGGATAGATATGCATGGTAAATGGAGGAAGACGAGAACTACTGTATTAGAGTAGTAGCAAGCAGTCTGTAAATCAATTCTATAAATTATACAGCTATATTCAGAATATTTTCCTTCTGCAATCTGGAGGGAGCCTCTGAAACTCCTGCCCCCTCTCTGTTAAATAGTTGCAGAGGGTAGAAGAGGGTTGCGTATGCGCAAGCTTCTCCCTTATCTTATAGAGGTCTTTGAAAATTTGAGGATATTTGAAGAAGATGAGAAGGTTGCCGAGATTTGCTACACTACTTCATAGATAACAAATGGTTTGCTAACACAAGAAAATTTACTTTGTTTCGTCTGTCTGTTTGTTTTTTCTGTTATCTCTTATAATGTGCTTCAAGTGAAGATATATGTATGAATACGTACATGGGTAGCATCATTTTATGGTGCCTATCCAAATGCAATATCTTTTGCAATTCGAGGCGGCAGACGTGGGGGAACAAAATATGTTGCACCAGGAGATTGTAATTAGAATTACCATTTATTTAGTAAATTCCAACCTCCAAGTACCTGAGATAAGTTTGAGTTGGCTCTGGTTTGTCAAAAGATTCTAGCAGTTCTCTCCATCCAAGTGCACTAGATATTTTTTTCGGGAGGAACTGGAAATACATAGATCCTCTGTTTAATCATCCTTCGATCAGGTACATAAGCACTTCAGCGTGTGGGAAATAGTGAGGAGTAGAGAAATTACAGGACTAATAACCAGTTGTTTGACCCCAATGACGGCCGTAATTTTGCCTTTGGATCAAATTTTTTTGAAGGTTGTATTGAAACCAATATAACACCGCCACACCTGACACATAAACGTGGAACTGTATGCCTCACGATCTGATTATCTTCTTATACATTATCATCAATCTCCACAGTTGCAACAATCTCTTCAACATTGTGAAGAATCATATTCAAATGCTTATCATGGGGCTGGTCCATGCTATGTCTAAAGAGTTTCAATGGGTCCTAGCCGTGCTCTTTTTTCCCTTTCCCTTGCATTTTTCTCGTACTACTTCCCCTTGATCTCCCGGTCAATGCCAAGTAATTCTCAGCAAAGCAAATTACCAATGAGTCATTTGTCTTTGCTTAATATGAGATGGGGAAAGCTCCCTCGTGTCATTATTGGCAAAATCTGTAAGAAATTTTTATGAGATGGCTCCTGCTGCTCTCGAAGATTTTTTAGTTTGAGTTTTCTTAATGTGTCTGATACGTGTCGGACTCGTGTCGAATTCCGACACTCTAGCATGGTCATTTTTTCTTTATCAGCAATATTATATATTTATAACTCAAAGTAAATATTAAATAATAAATACATATTCATATTTAAAAATTTTCAACAAGAAAAATTAGTAACAAATATAAGACTAAATTTATATTATATAAAGGGAAAATTGTAGTCAAGGTACCAAACTTTTCATTTAGTTGCAGACTTTGCCTAAACTTTTCATTTGTACCATCAATGATATCAAACCTTTCAAAAATTCGCACAGAGTCCAAATGGATGGAAATCGTTAATTTTACCACTAGTTGACAAGAGTAATTGATTTTGACCAAATATAAAAAGGGTAAAATGGTATCTTTATAATTTTAATAAAAAATAAACAAAAATTTAAATTAAAAGAAGAAAAAAATAAGCCCATGTGGTATCATCTTCACCTAAAGTTCACATCGCCGACGGAGGCTCAAAATCAGCGGACCTTGACCACCACCTTCTATGCACTAAAATTTTGTCAATGGACATCAACCACCACCGCCTCAGTCGCTACCAGAACTAGTGGTGGATAAAGCAAGTAACAGAAACCAATTTCTCATAGGCTTTAGGAGAAATCAAGACTCACGTATCCAACTCTGATTTTATGGCCGTGTCGTTGCAGCAAACTACATACTCCACTTTTGATACCTTACACGGGTGGTGAGCACCGCTGCGCACAATAATGAAAGTTTTGCAATCTTGTCGAGGCCAATTGGATGCGTTTGATAGATAAACTTTTGAAGACAGAAGAGGAATCCCAAAGCAGATCTACAATGAGAAATGAGCCTATCTATGAAGAAGAGTAAGCCCAAACGAAGAAGAAGCCCAAAGCAGATCTACGTAGAAGACAAAATAGGAATTTGGTGGTTTTGTGCTTCGCAGAAGCTACCTTTCCCAATCTCATCTTAACTCATTCATTCCCTTTTGAATTTCAGCACAATATTAAAGCCCTAAAATTACTAAACCAATGCAACAATGGCGATGTGAGTATGGGCGTGTGTGAGAAAGATCCAGGTTTTTTAATTTAATTTTTTATTAAAATTATAAAGTTACTATTTTACCATTTTTATATTTAGTCAAAATCAATTACTCTGGTCAACTAACTGTCAAATTAACGATTTCCATCCATTTGGTATCTTGGCTGCAATTTTCCCTTATATAAATGAAGAATTTTAAAGATGTTAATTAAAGTGTTGGCAACGTATCGTGCCAGTATTTTTTGAAAAATCACGTGTTGGCTTGTCGATACGTATCGTGTTGGACACACGTATTGTATTATAGGCACTTAACATGCGAAAAGGTTTTGCTAGAGTGGATAAGATTGAGGCAAAAAAATGCTGTAAAATTTGAATATGACTTCCTGCTTTCTATTGATCTAATGCTTATATTGTTCATTGTCTGGTGGTTCTATGATTATGAGTAGAACTAGATGCTTACCTTTAGGACTAGATGTCCACCTTGTCCTTTGTACCTTCTTTTCTCCGAAAAAAAAATTCGCGTTATGTTCAAAAATGTTTGTAATTCGATATTATTGTTCATTGATGTGTTCACCCCACTGGGTATAAACTGTTCAAGATAGAAAGATGTAAATTGTGAATCGTTTGAATGATTTCTTACAGATAGTTAATTATCAATTGCTGACCATGTATATATTGTTGAGTTATTCTCCTCTTCAATGCCATTTTGTTCTTTAAAACTTAAATATTAATATTGCTTATACAATTCCCATTGGCTTTAAATGTCTAATCTTGTGCACCAGGAAGCGTTTGGATGGCATACTTCAAGATTTAGAAGAAAAGCAAAACAGCAAGAAAGAAGCGGTTGGCATTTTTTCCTTTTTATCATATGTTTCTTCCTTCATTCTCAAATTTGAGTTTTTTTTAATACTTAGAGCATGTTTGTCTATTTTCAGCAGTTATAAGTCAAATTAACATGTAGACTTACAAGTTACAAATAACCCTTTATTTAATATCTTGCAACGGTGACTATGAAGATTTTGCTTTATTGTTATTTATGATGCTAAAACTCTTCAGTTTGGACTAGGAACCCGTGTCGACATGACATGAAATGGGTATGGTATAAATCCCTTGGTGAATCCTTCAATTTAGAAGTGGATACGACGGAAACATGAAGGGAGATCACCATCAGAGGAAGTGAAAAGTTGTAAGGAGATAAAGAGTTGGCCCATGATATTTAAATTAATAAAATTAATTTCGAGGCATAAAACCAAGATTTTTAAGGAATGAAACCAGGCCCATTTAATGTTACACTCTCTAAAAAGTACGTAAAAAATTATAAGAAATATTATAAAAAATTTATGTTTGTAAAACATACTCGTGTATCCGTGTACAAATTTTGGATATTCTTCAGTTGGACTATAAGGATTTTTTCATTGATTCAGGGCATTTGAATTCCATTAGTAATGAAGAACCCGTATCCTATGTTTTAGAAGAAAATGAATCCAATTCCTAGATATTTACCCGTATTCGACACCCGTATGCAAGTCCGAGCAACATAGATTGTTATCGAGAGATTGTAATTATGTTAATGTGATCATCTAAAAGTTGAAAGGTTCAATAATGTTAGTTACTAGTAGATTTACTTCTTGAAAGAACATAAATACAAAAAGCGCTTAACCGTGTTGTACGGACACTTGAATTAGGGTAACGTATTCGTGTGTGTGACCGACACTTGTTGGAATCATTCTACCGGAGTTATTCTTTTTTCTTTATCAGCAATATTACATGTTTATAACTCAAAGTAAATATTAAATAATAAGTACATGCTCATATTTAAAAAATTTCAACAAGATATAAAACTAAATTTATAGTATATAAATGAAGAATTTTAAAGATATTAATTAATGTGTCAGCAACATATTGTGTTAGTACTTCTTGAAAAGTTGCGTGTCAACGTTTTTGACACGTATCGCGTTGGACACACGTATCCATATCGGTGCATCATAGACGCTTAAAATGCGAAAAGATCTTGCTAGAGTTGATAAGATCGAGGCAAAAAATGCAGTAAAATGACTTGAATATGACTTCCTGCTTCCTATTGATCTAATGAATAAATTGTTCGTTGTCTGGTGGTTCTACGTTATGAGTAGAACTAGATGTTTACCTTTAAATACAGAGTGTAGTTGGAGTAGGAGGGAGATGGAGGAAATGCATAGCTTATAATTATTTTTATCTTGCAGGAGGATAATATAAACATAACTCAAGGGAATTGGAAGTTATAATATGCTCGCATTATTCTGCACATCAATTTGTTAGACGTTACTAATGACACTTTAATTATTAATACTTAATCATATCGCTTGTTTTTATTTTTGGAACTCTCATTTATTGCATTTGCTTTTAATCACTTTTTTATTCTTTTTTTTCTTTATTTTTTTGGGTTCTTTGTACAATTACATTTTTGTTTGTAACTTTTACATCAGATTGCAATAACAGAACAGGTTAGAAGATATCATTCTCCCATTTCCCTCAATCTGAAAGTTAGCTTAAACTAGTTTAGCATTCTTCTCACGTGAATTAACCTGTTTCTTGTAAAATTTAATGGCCATATGTCCTTTCATATTTTTTCTGATGCAGATTTTTAAGGTACAACAAAGAATTCAGTCTCTCCAGGCTGGAAAAGGCAAGGCATAACATGCCCGTATCATCATGAAAATTCTGCAATTCTACTGTCGACATGTCGAGGCACTAATATGATCCCTCTTTTTTGAGTGGCACAGTGTGGGGATCGCCAATGATATCATATTGAATTTCCATTTTGCATCCAATTGGTGTGTAAGGACTGCTGAAGTTGCCTAATGTTTTTTTCATGCTGGTTTGGTTATTATAGATCTTGTTCTCTGAACATAATTTTGAATGTCATATGCATGGTACTAAATTACTTGGCACTTGTTACTGACGATTTTAGGATGATAGTATATGAAGCCCCGTTTAAGCCTTTTCCTGCACATCCTGATTTTCATCCTTTTCAATTTCAATTTTGAAATGGAGTTCTAAGTTGCAGACTGATTCAGTGTTGCTAGACCCTAATAATACAATGTAGCGCGATATGTAGGAATATTGGTAATATTACAGTAGAAAGAGATCTTGGCTTGGATTTGAGCGAGCTAATAGATATGTAGTTTTCTTTATTTGAATTCTTGAATATTTGGTTTGAGAAAAGCTATACTGCACCAATAATCTGTTTGATTCCTCTCAAGTCTTTTGATGAATTTAAGGCTGGAGGAATGAATAGTAACAGTATGGAATATAAGGAAGCTTTGAGATGCAATGGTTTTGTGATAAGAAGGAATTACATTCCATATAAGATGGATTCCAGATTGTAAACCATTAAGATAAGAAGGAACACAATAACCAAAACTTCAAGAGTTAAGGATCTACAGGTTCAGTGTTTGAAGGAAAAGAATATTTATTGCAACATAAGATTGTGACATTAATTTATTCTCCTCTTGGTTTGAGAAAATCAAATTGTTATTGGTATTCTAATATGCTATCGAACTTGGTAGTGATGTCCACATTAAACATGATCAAATTGTTGGAATTTTAAATTTGTACTTGGTGATGTGACACCATACATTAAAAACTCGCGATTTAGACAATCCAATATTCCATTTGTAAGGTGGAGCCCCACAAAAATGATTTTAGAAAATGGCATTCATAAGATTTATTTTCAAGATTTTTCTCGTTGAATCTTCTTTTTGTTATATCGATCGGAAGCGTCTGGTAGTGGTATTGCTTGAGATAAGTACCCGTCCTAATCTTGATGTACCATGAGTTGACGTAGTTAGAACTATTCTTATTTGGACGAAACTCAGAAAAAACTAATCAAATATGAAACCTTATTCAGGATTTACATTATTTTTCCCCTTGTCATGATGCCTAAGTAAATGTATTTGTTTAATAAGTTAAAACTTTTAAACAAGATAATTCAATGAAGATAGCAAATCAGATTCATCTATGCAAAGAACTTCACGTGTCGTCTGTGTCATGTCACTAAAAAGTTATGGGAGAAATGTGCATGCCTAATGGACAACATAAAAAGTTTGCCGTAGGGAAAGCGTATAATTTGCTCCATGCGTAGGAAAAAAAATCTATGAATATTGTCACAAGGCAGTGAACTATTAAAAAGAAAAATGAAAAACGCAAATAATAATTTGTCTTTATTTGCAGCAATATATGATTATATTCTAGCGAGATTTGATTTGCTTTTAATCTTGTCAGGTGATAATACATTGGTGGTTGTACCAATACTGAGGTAGGTATATCCATGGAGAATTATGCTCCTCTGTTAGGCCTGGCAGAGCCGAGCCTCTCACATGAGGAGGGTCCCGCCTGCCAGCCTCTCACATGAGGAGGGTCCCGCATGGGACACGCCTCATTAAAAAATACCCCAAAAATATCCACCCCACCCCTGTTTGTGTGTGTTCTGTAGAGATTCTATGAACCCCTACCTGTACACCAAGCAAAACCCATCCATGGAACTATACCTACTAAAATAATTTTTTTTTTCAAAATCATAAATATGAAATACAATTACATCAAAATGACTAGGTATTGAATATTGTGGTTTCATATCTAAAGGTTGGGCTTTGCTAAGTGCACATCGAATTTGACATCTCGGTGTATAGGTCCCTTCACAAGATGGGGGGCCCACAATTTTTTTATTGGTCGTGAGCCCCCTCTTGTGAGGAGGTCTGTACACCGGGATGTCAAATTCGGTGTACAAATTACAAAACCTTTAAAGGTTCAACTTGCTAAAACCTTTTCGAGCTGTAAGGTTTCATTAGTTCAACTTTGTTAGGAAAAGTAACCCAAGTCCATACACGTTAAATATAATTTTCATCGACTTTACATATTACATTTAACACCCTGCACATGGTTCACATGGTTCCATCAATCAAAGAACATTGTAGAATCGTTATCAGTTTAATCAAATGCCTTTTGAAAATTATAAAACATTCCATTTCACTGTGTGCAGCAACTTGTGATTCAAATGGAAATATTAATTCCGTTGAAGGGAATGGCCCTTCATCGTACACTAATTATTACAAGGTGGATTTGATACACATCTATGTCCTATTTCATTGGTTATAGTGTCGAATTTCCACCATATGAAATCTCGTCACTTTTTGTACGAAGATTTTAATGGGTATGCAGAGTCCATTAAAATGCTCCTACCACATTGTAGGGGATGATAAGGGCACGCTTGTCCTCTCCTCTAATGCTTGAGTTGAAGTGCATATTCCACTTTGTGGTTCCATATTCAACAAGCAAATAACTCGACTTCAAATGACGGGTTTTTGTATTTGGACGTGAACCAGCAATACACTAAACATGAAGTCTATTGAATTCTCTTTATTAAACATATTGTACTTCTTCGGGTTTAGTTCGAATTCTTGACAAGTTCTAAAATCAAGTGTAAATTCGAATAATTTCTCGACAAGGTTTAGGAATTCGACTACTACTTTATGCAATTTTTTATTAGCTTGTTGGTTCGAGTATAAGCTGTGAACTTATTACAGAATTGACTTTTATGCGAACTTAATTAAATTGTTATGATTGCTGACTCTAACGTATTACATTATTCATTTTAGTTCCTAGCACTTTCTACCACATCATTTCAAACGAAAGTTTAGGGTAACAATCCTTTAATTTGGAACCAATTAATACTCAAAAGTTTTGAAATTGCAGTTAAATTTAGGGTTCTTATTTCCCGAATAAATTTTGGGTTTCTTGTCCCTTTCTTTTCCCTTTGTGTTGTAAATAATGTTGTAATCACTAATGTTAATTCTGCTTATAGATAATATGTTGTATTATCCTTTGGCTGTAATAGTAACACGTATCAAGTGACATTATGTCCCGGGGAATAATTTTTTTTGGAAAGATCGGTATAATCACTTTGTCCATATAGCACTTCAAGCGAACATCTCTATGTACAATTTGTGCCACGCGTCACCTAAGGTGTATAGTGCTCCCTTTTGGGTACAATAATACTCGTAAAGTATACGTTATACTACAATGTTGTTATGCTAATGAAGATTTAAGATGTTATGACATTAAGAACAAGTTTATTTCGTGAATTTGAATGTGCGATTTTAACAATGGATAGCATCAAATTCAGAATTACTTATAACTATTTAAAATTCTAAATTGTTAAAATAAGGAATTTAACGTATTCATGTCTGAAACAAAATGGTCTGGTTGTGATTTTTTTATTTGAAAAATAATAACATACCATTTAAATTAGAAGAGTAAAGGACCACAAGGCCAAGCTTGGCATTTTCAATGAGAAAGACTACTCAACTTTGTCAGTCCTCGTAAGATGCATAATTTGTTAGAAAAATTCACTCGATCATTATAAGGAAAAGCATTTTTAAAGCAAAAATTTCGTTACGTCTCCATTTCATTAGGAAAGTAAGATTATTTTCTAATTCAAAGAATTTATTCTCTCTTTCTTTTTGCATGTTTCTAATATTTCTTTCACCATGAATTGACTTATTCCATTCGATGGAAAAAGTTTGTTCGTAGTGTTACGAGTTTCCTAGTGCAAGCCAAATGGAACAAATGTAATGTATTTTGGTGCGATTTGACAAGTAAGACTGATGAGTGTATTTAGAGGCAAATCTCTTGTCGAAAGGATAAATGCCATCGCCTACAATGGAAAAAATGGTGGACCATTAGAATGCTTCATCACATGAGATGACCATATTGGGAGAATGACCCTTGACCAACCCAATGAAGAAACGTGTTGATTAGCTTCTAAATGGCCTATTGAAATGTTCGACTCCCTTCACGTATTTGCATTATATATTATCTATCGTTTTAAATGAAAAGCATTTTAACTCAAGATTTTCAATAAAATATCTCTAACATTTCATTGGTGTTAAGTGTTAACTACCTAACACAGGAACCCTACAACCCCCATTTTTAAGCATCCTCTAGATTTTTGGAGTCTTAAACCTACTATATATGAAGTTTTATATATTGAAACCATTAATATTATGGTGGTCCCCACCTAGGAAGGGCCCTAGGCGGCTACTGTCTATCGTCAAGGCTGCCCCAGGGTGTCTCATCCCTAAATTATCCTGCTAGACATGGCTCGAGGGGGTTTTACACGCTTTCACTTCTTGAGGATGGATGCATTGAGGCGTGTGAAGAGTTCTCCAAAAAAACGTTAGCATATCACACATGGTCCCAACAAGAAATCAATGTGCCACTGAAGTATTTAAGATTGTTCCATTTATATACCACTTGTGGATAACAACATTAATTGTTAATGTAATCAGTTAGCCATGCTTATTTTATTTTTAATTCCATCCTATTCTGGAAAGAAATAATGTTAAAATATATAGGCTTTATTTTGAAAATTGAGTGTCAAATTAGAAAATCAACTTAATTTTAGACTATAAAAACCCTCGACAATTGCTAGATGTACTGTATAATATTATTGGAAAAACTGTGAATAAACATCCAAAGTCAATCAGAGTGGGATTTTTTTTTTTTAAATGTCGTTTAGTTATTGTGTGATGTATCGAAGAATTTGCTTGAGTAATAGATCAAGAACAGAACAAATAATCAAAAGGGTAGAATCAAGGTGGCGGGAATCAGTATGGCTGGCCGAGTTTGAAGTATAA